CTCCCAGCAACCTCAAACTCTTAGGCTTTAGTGATTCTCTTGCCTCAGCCTCCCAAGTAGCTGGGACTACAGGCGCCTGCCACAACACCTGGCTACTTTTTTGTTGCATTTGTCATTGTTGTTTTAGCTGACCCAGGCTGGGTTTGAACCCGCCAGCCTTGGTGTATGTGGCTGGTGCTCTATCCACTAAGCTATAGGTGCTGCCCCATAACAGAATTTTTAAAAACACATCTATTTAGGGGATGCTAAGAAGTCAACTCACATGTTCATTGTTGGTTTCACTGGTTCATGATACGCCAATGGTGATGGGTTTGGACTAAACCTAGCACTATGTTGGGCTTAAGTAGGATCCCAAGCCTTCTAAGCATGTTGGTTGTTTCTTAATGTCACCAGCATAGCAATACATGACTGGTCTATCACATATTCTTTTTAAAATTTTATTTTTGACACCTATTAACGATACATATTTATGGGGTACGAGTGATACTTATTTTTTTAGAATGATATTTAAATACCTATATACAGTGTGTAATGATGAAATCAGGTTAGTTAGCATACCTGTCATTTTGAACATTTATTAGTTTTTGTGTTGGCAACATTCAAAATCCTCTTTTCTAGATATTTGAAAATATGTACTAAATTATCATTAGCTATATTCACTTTTCAGTGCTACAGAACACTATAATTTATTCCTCTTCTCAAGGTGTAATTTTGTATCTATTAATCACCCTTTCTCTATCCCTGTGACCCCCTTTCCCAGCTTCTAATAATCATAATTCTGCTCTCTACTTCCACGAGCTCAACTGTTTTAGCAGCCACATGTGAGTAAGAATATACAGTATTTGTCTTTTTGTGTCTGACTTATTTCACTCAAGATAATGTTCTCCAGGCTCATTCATGTTGGTCCAAATGACAGGATTTCATTATTTTTGTGGCTGTATAGTATTCCATCATGTACATATGCCACATTTTATCTATTCATTTGTTGATAGACCCATACCTTTGCTACTGTGAATAGTGCTGCAAAAAACAAGGGAGTGCAAATATCTCTTCTAATAATGTTTTCTTTTCCTTTGGATAAATACCCATAGTGGAAATGCTGAATCATATGGCAGTTATAATTTTAGTTTCTTGAGAAACCTCCATACTATTTTCATAGTATGAAATGGCTTTACTAATTTATACTCTCATCAATAACGTATTAGAGTTCCTTTTTCTCTATACCCTTACTAGTGTTTGTTAATTTTTTGTCTTTTTGATGACAGACACTATAGTGTTGGGAGATGTCATCTCATTGTGGCATTGATTTGTGTTTCTCTGACTAATCTACTGATAGCAAACACTTGGGCTCTTTCTGACCATAAATCTTACCTCTATATCAGATAAATGTTGGTTACAATTTTCTAGGTACATAAAAGAAGAAATGCATTTCAATCATCTCAACAAAGATTTAGGTTAAATAATAGAAGGATCTTCTAAACCAGCAGTTCTCAACCTGTGGGTCATGACCCACAGGAACTGTATGAAAGGGCTGCAGCATTAGGAAGGTTGAGAACCACTGTTCTAAACCCTGTGGTTGTTACTGATACATGAGAGAGAGATTAAAGGATCTTCTTTTGAAAGATTTAACAAGATGGAAACAAAACCCACACATATGTAAAATCATTCATCTCTAACTATTGAAGCTTCCTTCCTATACTTAAAATCAAATGTTATTACTAGATGATTTCATATATATGAAGTTCAAGAACAATACTAATCTATGGTGATAGAAATCAGAAGAGCAGCTACCTCTTAGGACAGGGAACTGAATAGAAAGGAGGCATAAGGAAACTTATTAAGATGATGTTAAAGTTCTATATCTTGATTTGGATGATAGTCATGCTGATATATACAAGTGTTAAAACTTATCAAATAGTACATATAAAATCTGTGCATTTTACTAATTGTAAAATATATCTCAGTTTAAAAAAGAAATGTCAGAGGCTTGGGAAGAAATACCTTTAAAATAATAGATACCACCACTCTTAAGGAATAAGCCAGGGAGAGAAGGGAGCTTGGATAATCTCAATAGCAGATACAGTTTAACTGAACTAAAAACCAAGAAAAGAAAGAGCTACTCTGGCTTCTCAGCAGTATCCATGCTGATTAGCTAACAGAGCCATTTCAACAGAATGCCTTTCCTTGGATTGGTACATTTGTTGCTGCAAAGCTGAGTTAATTCTACTCTCTGATGGATAGAAATGGAGGTAGGGGAGAGATAGTGGTCATAAGATACTATTGATTGTCTTGAAGTAGAATTCCAACAAATTACACTCAGCTAAGAGTAAGTATATTGCTCCATAGGCCCATATGGATAATGGTATCATGCCTGCTAGTATTAGAAGAGAGTGCTCAGAGGTGAAAACAGATAAGAATTTTACTGAAGTAAACGGAAGCAAGCAAACATACGACTTTTATGAAAATGACGGTTCATCCTGTGCTGATCCATCATCAACTTTCCCTTCTGCACTGTTGGTGGGGCTAAAGATTGGCACCTGGAATATGCTCATACCAACCCTCATCTGTACACATTTAAAGTTGCCAGTCTAGAGATAATAGGCTGTTTCTTCTCCTCTTTCATTCATACTAGTGTTTATTCGACATGTAGTAAACACTAGTCGATCCCTCAAGCAAATGGATGAAATGTTTTTCAGTTTGACAAATGACTTTCACGCTGAACATCAACGGTCTCTGTCTTTTCTCATAATTTTAAGTCAATAGTTCTAAAATGAAATTCTCTAGAAAGCACTGTATCAAGATCATCTTAATTTTCCTTACTTTGTGCCCTAAATTAGCATTTTCTACTGCCAAGAAGGTCATAAAAATAGAGACAAAGATTTTCATAGACAAACAAAAACTGATGACAATGAAATCTTCCTATTGTAATTCCCTGGATTTAAGTAAGCTGTATAATCCTCTAGAGATGATGATTCTGTAATTTATCATTCAGATTCTCAGTTTAGGCATAATTCCCCAAAGGAATTTTCCTATATCCATTCTTCCTGTCTTCAAAAGCCTTTCCAAACTCTTTAAAGGATCTAAGAGTTGCTGTTGTCTGCACACACACACACACACACACACACACACACACACAAAAATTCCTGCCCCAAGGGAACCTCTATGTGCTATTTCCATATTACACAGCTCATCTTTAGGAAGCAGCTGCAGCTTCATCCAAGGGCAGGCGATTTTTACTTATGTCACCACTAGTCATTATGGACATTAGTTTTTGGAAAGCCAAAAGTACTGACTACTTTGGATCTTGACTAAAATATGGGTAGATTGAAGACAACATACTATTTACATCTCCTTTGCTAAAAGTGAGTTAGTTATTGATTTTCAGTATGGGTTAAACCACTTGAGGACATACTTCCAATAAACTGTAGGGTACAAAAGGTCATATTTTTACATAATTTCAATAGAAAATCATATGTATGTCAACTGATTTAGTCAAAACCAAATTTATTCTTTCCTAGAAAATAGTAATGAAAAGAAAACTATCTTTCTATCATATTTCAGTGGCTGGCTTAGAGAAGTTTAGAGTGTCTTCAGGAAAGTTGAGCTTAGGTCTTTCGCTGCAGAAAGAATTGGATGTCAGGCCTTAAGAGATCAGAGTTTTGTCAGAGGCTAAACGTATATTTAATCTCATCTCAAAGTCAAGTATAAATGACTTTTGGAATGTCTGATGTTTTACATTCTCATATCTATGTTCCTCTCTATTAGTGTAGTCACTGTAGGTACATAAGAGAACTAGTATCACTCTTCACTTTCCTTCCAAAGATTTTAAAGTACTTTATACAATCCAATAACATACTCACAAGAGTGAATGAGATGGATCCTGTAACAGTGTTAGAGATTGGCAGCAGGCACAGAAAAATGTTGGAAACTGGTTTAATAGCAAGGGCATTGTTATGCCACATGAGAAAACAGAACCACCAACTAACAGTTGCCACATCTCTCAGAGGAATGTCTATCTCCAAATTCCCTCTTAACTCAATCTGCATAAAGCCTGCTCTTTCTTCTATCAAAATTGTACGCACAAGAGCAAGACTGAGCCAAAAAGGGACATGCCTCACTGGCTTGTCACTTACCCATGTTTCTCTGACCCCTTCAGAACCATCAGTTTCATCCTCCTGGAAAGAAAGGAGGAAGAAAATCAAGAAAATCGTTGTCACAGACAACCTTATATGCAGTAAGGTCAGTTCCCATCAATTAGGCACCTCAGCATTTCAAACTTGGGCAATGTGAACTGACTGCCAAGTGATCCTCTGTTACTGCTGCTTTTAACAGCCAACATGAATAGGCAACTTTGAAATGTCATCTGTAGTCAAAAGTGTCAAATCATTTGCAACTGGAAAAGGAACATCTTTAAGAAAGACAGACTTAATTTCATCTTTGTCAACAGTTATCAATCTATTTGACCCTATCACAATGAAATCCTTTAATTTAGGCTTGGCACTCGCAGCACAGTGGTTATGGCGCCAGCCACATACACCGAAGGTGGCGGGTTCGAGCCCGGCCCAGGCCAGCTAAATAACTGCAAAAACAGCAACAAAAAAAACCCAGCCAGGTGTTGTCGTGGCCACCTGTAGTCCCAGCTACTTGGGAGGCTGAGGCAAGAGAACTGCTTAAGCCCAAGAGTTTGAGGTTGCTGTGAACTGTGCTGCTACAGCACTCTATTGAGGGTGACATAGTGAGACTCTTGTCTCAAAAAAAAAAGAAATCCTTTAATTTAAAAAATCATTTTTGATAGATGACTATAGCTGGCTCATTTTCTGTCTTACTGAATAGGTTATTCTAATTTCCAAATGAATCATTGGTAACTAGAACCTCTTGTTTAAGTTATTGGCCACTTGTTTTTTAAAATGCCAATGAAAATGCTGAATGAGAAGGGTATAGAAAAAGATATGAAAGAGAATGAGTTAAAGCATTGAATGCAAGAAAGAGCAGAATAATAGCAATGCTTACTATGGGAGACAGCAAGTATCGGTGCACCTTCTTTAAAGTCAAAGTTAATCTATTATATTATTTGTTCCTTTTTTCCTCAAAAAGAATAAAACTGAGTCAGATAAACGTGTTACTTTCAGATTTTAAGTTCCTTGGAATTCTTATAATCTCCTAAAATACTTAGTTAGGATCTGTGCTTATCTGTGGTATTAAGGTATTGTTGACCAACTACATGACATTAAGGGAATATTAGAGAGGACAGCTAAAACTTGACAGACTTATTCAACTTTTAATTTTAAATTTCTTTTCTAGTTTATTTCTCTAAAAATGAGTTATGTTTATGTAGATATATGGTGGTTATACATTTCTCATTTTTTAACTCTTTACCAATTACTTACTGAGTGCCTACCATGTGCTTAGCACTGTACTAGGTACTGGGAATCCAGCAGGAACAAACCAAATGAGTCCCACACTAGTTGACACTCTCTTCCTCTCTTTTCCTCAGTAAGCCTTCTTGACAATCTGCAAGATTTCATGGCACTGTGTGGGACTCTTTCTTTTAAACTTGAATGAAAGAGGGCAGCCAAGGGTAATGTGATACCCCCAGTACAGACCAATCCACTTACATCTTTTGTCCAGAAATTGATGCCTGTACCTCTTCGTCGTTCCTTGGGCCGCCGCCTCTCTCGGATGGACAGCCTATTAGAGGAGTGATCATCCAAATCTGCTTCTTCATTCTCTGGCCAGAGACAAAACAAAGTATGACGTTTAAGAATCTGGGGCAAGTGCAATGGGAAGGGAACTGTATTTTTTGAAGCTCTACATACCATTTTTGTCCATTTCCCTTGTAGTTGTAGTGTTTGTGGTAGTCTTTGAACTCTCAGAATCAGGGGTCAAAAATCTACTTGTTTGTAGCAGATGAGAACTAGTGTAGAGGGAGGGGTTTGATGTAGAAGGAGACACTGGTGTTTTGGGTTTGTCTGGCTGAGTGGAACACCTCAGGCGACGACCAATAAGCTGGAAATAATCCACAATATGAGATGAGGTCAAATGCAACCAAAGGATAAGGACAGCAGGTTTATTCAAAATAGTTTTTCTTCTCTATATTAAGAGGCCTATTAGTTGAGGCTCAATAAATAGCTCTTAAACTGAACTAAAGTTAATTAACTAGAAAAAAATAGCTTTTAGACGCCTACTCCAAGAATACCGTCACACTGTTAGCAATCCAGGCAAATTATTCTACTAAATTGACCAAAGGACCCTAGATAGCATTAACTCCATAAATAAAAATTCCTTTAATTGAAATGAAAATAATAATGATAGCCTTTTTAAGATGGAATGCTGAAAGCCAGAGTATATATAAGAAAATAAAAAGCTCAGGAACACATAGGAATTATCCGGGAACAGAGTCCAAATGTGACCATTCTACAAATTTCTGAATATTCTACCAACTAATTATAACCAAGTTTACTGAAACTTTTGAAAGTTTTTCTCCTATTTTCCCCATGGTAATTATTTTTTCTGAAAGTTAGGACAGAGTCTGATAATAAGCCTTAACTTGGTTCACTGAAGGCACAGAGATAGATAAATTCCTACCACACATTATGTTTATAATGCACAGGTTATATTCATTTTTGTTTATAAATTATAAAAACAGAAGCAATAAAATATGACAAATTTGGAGTCAAATAGGTCTTGATTCAAATAACCTCAGCACTTATTAGCTATGTGAGCTAGAGTAAGTTACTTTATTTTTGAGTCTCAGCTTCTTAACATCTTCCTCAGAGAGGACTATGAGGATCAAGTAAGATAATGTGGTTTAGGTGCTTAGAACAATACTTGGTAAGAAGTACTCAATTCACAGTAGCTTATAAAACAAACAAAATATGCAACAGAATCTCAGTTTATGGACTCTAGCCATTCTGAGTTAAAGCAGAAAGGAGATTCCTTTCTTCTATAACTACAGTGACCATAAAATTTATCAGTCCAAGCTGAGGCAATTTTTTTTTTCTTTTTTTTATTGAACGGTAACTATGTACATTAATGCACTTCTGGGGTACAGTGTGGGGTTTTCACATGCAATCTGAATAAGCTGAGGCAATTTTGAGAGTGAAAAGGATTGGTAATGATAATTACTTAGAGATGGCAGTTGTAACTGGAACCATCATTGGTAAACAAGGAGTTATATTCACCCTAAATATAAGCTTATAACTTTTTTTGTGAGGCATAGTCTCACTCCGTTGCCTGGTCTAGAGAACAGTGGCATCAGCATGGCTCACTGCAGCTTCAAACTCATAGGTTCAAGAGATCCTCTTGCCTCAGCCTCCCCAGCAGCGGCAACTATAGGTGCACACCACCATGCCTGGTGAATTTTTTTTATTTTTGGTAGAGACGAGTTCTCTCCATATTGCCCAGGCTGGCCTTAAACTCCTGGCCTAAGATGACTCTCCTGCCTTCCTGGCCTCCCAAAGTGCTAGGGTAGAACACATGAGTCATTGTGTCTGGCCAATCCCTTTTGACTACAAACTCCACTAGAGAAATTGAACATAAATTAAAAGGTCCATCCCAAAAGTGACACCCAGGAGTGCTTTGTAAGCTCTTAGGTTTGCAAGAGTTTGAAGAATAAGACTTGAGTGGTCAAGAGTAAACTGTGAAGTCAGACTACTTACATTCAAAGCCTTGCATAACCACTCCTTAGCTGTATGAAATGTTGGCATATTACTTAACCTCCCCGTGACTTGATTTCCTCATATACAAAGAAGGAATAATAGTATTTACCTCAGAGAGTTGTTTTGAGGATTAAATGAAATAAAACATATAAAATACTTAAAACAATGCCTGACAGAAACACTCAATAAGTGTTTTTATATTTTAATTGGCATTTTACTATACTATAACTTTTCTTTTTAGAATAGAAAGACATTTATTCAAAAGCATCAGTAAACTCCTAGAAGAAAAAAAAATAGCCTGACATTCTCTGAATTCAGTGTCACACAGGTTCATCAACTAAATATAGGCATAAAGAGTGACTTGTCAGGCTGGGTGCAGTGCCTCACACCTGTCACCTAGCCCTCTGAGATGGTGAGGTGGGCGGACTATCTGAGCTCACAAGTTGGAGACCAGCCTGAGCAAGAGAGAGATCCAGTCTCTAAAAATAGCCAGGCATTGTGGCAGGCACCTGTAGTCCCAGCTACTTGGAAGCCTGAGGCAAGAGAATACTTTGAGCCCAAGAGTTAGAGGTTGCTGTGAGCTATGATGTCATAGCACTCTACTGAGGGTGACAAAGTGAGACTTTGTCTCCAAAAAAAAGTGAATTGTCCCCTGCAAGGTAGAACATAGGACTAGAATAAATGAGGAAGAGATTCCTCAAGTTAATTATCTTGCTTTTAGCACAGTACTTGCCAGCAAAAATGAGCTCACCTCTTCATCCAGATTCCTGCCCCAGGGCTGTTGGCCCTCCTCAGCCTCCTTTGCTGGGACTGCTGAGGGCTCATGCTTCTCAGTGCTCCCCTCAAGGCCTTCAGTGTCTATAGGCTTCTCGCTAGGCTGCTCCTGAGCTTGCCTCTCTGCCCTTGACCGGCTGAAAGTCCTTTCTGCTTCTTGAAGGTCCGTTAGGGTAACACCCTGGGAAAATATCATAAGATCATGGTAGTTCACACTAACCATGTAATACTCCTGATGACAGAGCAGGGAAACTCCCCAAAGACCTAATAGTTATCAAATCCCAAATGAAGCTCTAAAAATGCATAATGAGGCCATTTCATGCAATCCACACTTAAAATAAGCACCTCAGTGTGCAAAGAACCCAAGCCCCAGTCTAGGTACATTTTGAATGTAACACGTTAGCTTTTCCAATTTGATCTCCAGAAAATAGGTCAACATTGATGTATGCCTGTTATAGATATACTTCTTCCATACCAAATAGTTCTCCACATTTTTATTTAAAAGCTCTCTACCCTCCCAAGATCAAATGGTTACCAACAGAGATTATTTGAACACCAGATACTGGAAAAGAAAAGCCAAGTTCAATAAGGTAAAAACAGTAATAGAAACAACAACAACAACCTCAACAAAAACCTCCCCAAACCCCCTAGACTAGTTTTTCTCTAACACTAATTCCCAAGTAACCTTAGGATTCATAAAGATATGTTCCAACAGTTAATGTGCCCCCCACCGACACAGGAGCAGCAAGACAAAAGAAAAGCAAATGATGAGATGCCTGGAGGACTGCGGAAGGGAAGAAAGTCAGAAAGTAAGCTGATTCCCACTCAAGTAGTATGTACTCGTCAGAGGAAGAAGGAAGTTCCAAAGCTGGAAGGTTCAATCAGGTACCATATCTACAACTTGCTCCCTCTGCCTTTGTTGTTGTTGTTGTTTTACTACTGATTCATTTACTCATTCATTCTCTTAAGAATTAAGTGTCTTTAGGTACTAAAACTACTACAAAGACCACTTAAATGATTATTGTTCAAGAAACTTTTACTTTAGTGGAAAAGACATAAGAAAACATGAGTACAATGAGAGAATGTAAGGATTAAGACAAATACAGGAACATATAAGAGGCATACCTAACACTGGAGTTTTTTTGTTTTTTATTTTTGAGACAGTCTCACTTTGTTGCCCCGGGCTAGAGTGCCATGGTGTCTCAGCACACAGCAACCTCAAACTCTTGGGCACAAGTGATCCTCTAGTGCCTCCAAAGTAGCTGGGAGTACAGGCACCTGCCACAATGCCTAGCTACTTTTTTCTTTTTCTTTCTTTCTTTTTTGTTGAGATGGAGTCTCACTATGTTGCCCTTGGTTAGGGTGCCATGGCATCACTGTTCACAGCAACCTCAAACTCTTGGGCATAAGCGATTCTCTTGCGTCAGCCTCCTAAGTAGCTGGGACTACAGGTGTCCGTCACAATGCCCAGCTGTCTTTTTGCTGTAGTTGTTTGGCAGGCCTGGACCAGGATCAAACTGCCAACTCTGATGTACGTGGCTGGCATCCTAGCTGCTGAGCTACAGGAGCCGAGCTGCCACCTACGTTTTTCTATTTTAGTAGAGATAGGGTCTCTTTTTTCCTCAGGCCAGTTTTGAACTCCTGAGCTCAAGCAATCTACCTGCCTTGGCCTCCCAAAGTACTCTAACACTGCATATTGAAGAGTTTAAAAAAAAAAAAAAGGGCGGCACCTGTGCCTCAAAGGAGTAGGATGCTGGCCTCATATGCCGGAGGTGGCGGGTTTAAATCCAGCCCTAGCCAAAAACTGAAAAAAAAAAAAAAAAAAGAGAGAGAGAGGCTCGGTGCCTGTAGCTCAGTGGCTAGGGTGCCAGCCACATACACCAGAGCTGGTGGGTTTTAATCCAGCCTAGCCTGCCAAACAACAATGACAACTGCAACCAAAAAATAGCCGGGTGTTGTGGTAGGCGCCTGTAGTCCCAGCTACTTGGGAGGCTGAGGCAAAAGAATTGCTTGAGCTTGAGATTGCTGTGAGCGGTGATGCTACCGTACTCTACCCAGGGTGACATAGTGACTCTGTCTTAAAAAAAAAAAAAAAAAAGAGTGGCTGGGCAAAGTGGCTTACGTCTGTAATCCTACAATATTTTGGGAGGCCAAGGTGGGAGGATCGTTTGAGCTCAGGAGTTCAGAGACCAGCTTGAGCAAAAGTAAGACCCATCTCTACTGAAAAATGGAAAAATGAGCCAGGTGTTGTGGTGGGTGCCTGTAGTCCAAACTACTTGGAATGCAGAGGCAGGAGTTTGAGGATGCTGTGAGTTAGGCTGATGCACAGCACTCTAGCCTGGGGCAACAGAGCGAGACTCTGTCTCTAAATAAATAAACAGCTTGGGTAGGTGGAGAGAGAAAAGGTATTATAAGTAAAAGAAGATTGTGGAAAGATTCAGAAACAAGAGAGGTCATAGGTAGTTGTAGAATCTATAAGTAATTTAGCAAAGGGGAAGCGCACAACAAAGAAAGGAAAGCTGGGGGAGTTGAGAAGGAGGATAGCTGAACTTAGGAGAGGAGGCAGAGGTTAGGTCATGAAGGATCTTGTATACCATGCTAAGGAACTTGGATTTTACTTTCTTCTGTGAGAGGGTAGCCCCTCTGAGAATCTCAGGAAGACTACTGAAATCTAATAAAACCTTCTCAAAAGTTACATATACATTTCAAGGAGTTGAAAGATTGCTTCAAATTCTGAATAGATCTCTATTCTCTCTACTGAATCTTTCCCTACTAGATACTTCTGTGTTCCAGTGTCCCCCACATTCAATTCCATGCCTTCCAGCAACTTCCCTATCGTTTCCCATTCCTTCATAAACAAACTTGAAGTCAATCCAGAATAGTTTGTATTTCCTTATCAATTATCCCTTACTCATTTATTTATTCAATAAATATATATTCATTTCTTATTTACTGTATTCCATATTCCATGGGCAATGATGATGAGCAAAACATATAGTCAGTCATACTCATCAAAAAACAAATACATTGGCAAGGATATGAAGAAATTAGAATCCTGTGCACTGGTGACGGGAATGTAAAATGGTACAACTGCAATGGAAAACAGTATGGTATTTCCTCAAAAAACTAAAAATTGAATTACCATATGATCCAGCAAATTCCATTTCTGAGTATATGCCCAAAAGGATTGAAAGTAGAGTCTAAAGGAGACAGTTGAACAACCATTCTTTTTTTTTTTTTTTTTTTTATTGAATGGTAACTATGTACATTAATGCACTTCTGGGGTACAGTGTGGGGTTTTCACACACAATCTGAAACAATTCCATCAAACTGTGAACAACCATTCTTACCAGCAGCATTATTTAAAATAGACAAAAGGGCTCGGCACCCATAGCACAGTGGTTATAGCATCGGCCACATACACCAAGGGTGGTGGATTTGATCTCGGCCCGGGCCAGGTAAACAAAAATGACAACTGCAACCAAAAAATAGCCAGGTGTTGTGGCAGGCACTGGTAGTCGCAGCTACTTGGGAGGCTGAGGCAAGAGAATCACTTAAGCCCAAGAGTTTGAGGTTGCTGTGAACTGTGACATCAGGGTACTCTACTGAGGGTGACATAGTGAGACTCTGTCTCAAAAAAAAAAAAAATAGATAAAAGGTGGAAGCAACCCAAGTGTCCATTATAGATAAATGGATAAACAAAATGTGGTTTATCCATACCATGAAGTATATTATTCAAGCTTAAAAAGAGGTTAATTCTGATACATGCTACAATATGGATGAACTTCCATGACATTACACTAAGTGAAATAAGTCAGATACAAAAGACAAATGACATATATACTCCACTTATATGAGGTTCCTAGAGACAGAAAGTAAAATGGTAGTTGCCAAAGAGAAATGGGTAGAAACAACTGTTTAATGGATAGACTTTTAATTTTGGAAGATGAAGAAAGTTCCAAAGACGAATGTGGTAATAGTTACACAACAATGTAAATATATAGAATACCCTAAACTATATACTTTAAAAATAGTTAAAACATAAACTTAGTATTATGTGTATTTTACTATATTAAAGTGAAACCAAAAAATATATAGTCAGTCTCAGTCCTCATGGAGGTTAGACTCTAATAGAGGAAATAGATAAATCAAGCAAAAATATTACTTTGGGAGGGTCAGGGAAGGCAACAAGGATGCTTTGCTGTCAGGTATAATGTCCCTTTCTCCTTCTTTAGTCATCAGCTTTCCTACTTGACCTCTATAGCATTTAAAATTTCTGAACTTCTCCTTTTCACTGGAAACTGACTCTTCATTCACTTCCATTTTGCTACTTTCTGGTTTTCTTTTCACCTGTTTGGCTGTTTCTTTTCATCTTGCTTTATAGGCTCATTTTTTCTCTACCTCCTTAAATAAGTCTTTTTATTTTTTATTTTATTTTTTATTTTTGGAGACAGACTCTCACTATGCCACCGTCGGTACAGGGCCATGGCATCATAGCTCACTGCAACCTCAAACTCTTGGGCTTAACGATTCTCTTGCCTCAGCCTCCCAAGTAGCTGGGACTACAGGTGCCCTCCACAAATGCCTGGCTATTTCTTCGTTGCAGTTGTCATTGTTGTCCAGCTGGCCCCACCGGGTTCAAACTCGCCAGCCTGGGTGAATGTGGCTGGCGCCCTACCCACTGAGCTATGGGTAAATAACTCTTCTCTTGTCTCTAAGGTAGAGAAGGCTACCTTACAACATGAGTTCATGCCCCTTTCACTTCCTAGCAAGCCGCCTTGCTTCTAGGCTTGGCAAACATACTTTTACCCACCACTCCCATCAATTCTCTGCATGGTGATTTCTGTAACATAGAATGTAAACTGTATCAAACTCTTCTTCAAACTGCTTCAATGGCTCCCTTAGGGATTCGACTTTTTTGGGGAAGGGGGTAACATCTTTATTGAAATGTTGACGTATCATAACATTTACTTTTAAATAAAGTATATAATTTTTGGTCTTTAGTATATTCATGGAGTTAGGTAATTATCACCACTATCTAATTTCAGAACATGCTCATCACCCCAAAAAGAAACCTCTCACCTATTAGTAGTCACTTACTATTCCTCCTTTCTCAGCTCCTGGCACTAATCTACTTTCCATCTATTTAGATTTGCCTAAGGACATTTCATATAAATGGACTTAATATATAGGATCTTTTATGTCTGGCTTCTTTCATTTAATGTTTTCTTAGGGCTCATCCATCTTGTATCATGCATCAGTAATTCACTCATTTTTACTGCCAAATAATGTTCCATGTACTGGATATATCACATTTTGTTCATCCATTCATTAGTTAATGAATATTTGTGTTGTTTTTACTTTTTGGTAATTATAAAAAATGCTGTTATAAATAATCTATATACAAGTTTTTATATGGAAACATATTTTCATTTCTCTTGAGTATACCTAAAAGGAGAACTGCTAGAGTAAATGGTAATTCTATGTTTACAATTTTGAAGAATTGCCAAACTGTTTTCCTTTAGAAATCCCTTAGATATGGTAGGTGTAGAGGGGAGTCTTAAGATTTTTAAGCACAAGTGGAATCATCAGTCTTGTGAAGGAAAGCAGATAAAAACTTGCTCTGAGCCTGGGGGAATTGAGGTGAGAGTGGGTAGAAGTAGGTATAAATTCATTTGATTCTATGTAGTGTAAGATTTAACACAGTAAAAGCTTTTAATACAGTGGCTCCTTGAATGTTGAAAAACATTCATTTTAGTGTTTTTTAATTGTACCTCCAGTGGAAAGGTGGGGAGACAAAATGATATTAAAAAAGTCATACTCACTTGAGTAGACCTTCGTGTCTGCCGAGCTTGTCTAGAGCGTGCTTTCCGTAAAGACTCTGCTTCTTCATCCCGTACAGGAGTCAGATAGGATCTGCAGAGAAAGAAAAGTAATAGCAAGTAAAACCTTTGCTTGCATGTCTCTGAGAGTGACAAGGTACTTCCACATACTGAAGGAATTTCTACACTCTAGGAAAGAACATAGGCAAAGTCAATATGCAGGGATCCTATCAGCCATTGGCAAACATCACAGAATACAACAACACAGTAGTCCTCCCCTTTATCTGTGGTTTTAGTGGCCTGAGGTCAACTCCAGTCTGAAAATATTAAATGGAAAACTCCAGAAATAGACAATTCATAAATTTTCAATTGTGTACCATTCTGAGAAGCATGATGAACTCTCATGCTGTTCTACTCTGTCCCTCCCAAGATGTGAACCATCCCTTTGTCCAGTGTATCCACAGTGTACATACGACCCACTTGCTAGTCACTTAGTAGCCATTTGGTTATTGGTCAGTGCTTGTGTTCAAGTAACCTTCATTTTACTTAGTAATGGCCCAAAGCACCAGAGTAGTGACCCTGGTATTTTGGTACAACTGTTCCATTTTATCATTAGTTATCATGTAAATCTCTTATTATGCTGATTTGTAAATTAAACTTTACCATAGTTATGTATGTATGTATAGGAAAAAACAGTGTATGTATAGGGTTTCACACTATTATATTTGTGGTTTCAGGCATCCTCTATAAGTATAGGAAATGTATCCCCCATGGATAAAGGGGATTACTGTGTTTGTAAATGTGTTACTGTTCATGCAGAATCCCATTATCTGTAAAATAAGAATTTTATTTCTTCTTCTCCTGTCCTTATAAATTTTATTTCTTTTCTTGTCCGAATGCTCTGGCTAGAACCTCTAGGACATGCTGTGAAAAGCAGTGGTGATAGTAGGTCTCCACGCTCTGTTCTTGTGTTCAGAGAGAAAGCATTTGGCATTTTATTATTAAGTATAATGTCTGCTGTAAGATTTCTATAGATTATCACTTACCAAATTAGAGCAACTCCCTTCCTTTCACATATAAGGCAGGCTAAGAGGGTTTTTGTTTGTTTGTTTTTAATCGTTAGTGTGTGTTCAACTTTATCACATGCTATTCACCCCCGTATATTGAGATGATACCTTTTCTCCCCTTTTTTGTTAATAAGGGGAATCACACTGAATAATTTTTGAAGGACAAAATAATATTGAATTCTTGGGTCAAGCTAAACTTCATCAAGATTTATCACCTTTATATATAGATTTATTTTATAGAGATTATCTATCTATCTATTAGTTAGAGACACAATCTCATGCTGTTGCCCAGGTTGGGAGTACAGTAGTGCAATCATAGCTCACTGCTACCTCGAACTCCTAGATTCAAACGATCCTTTCATCTCAGCCTCTTGAGTAGCTGAGACTAAAGGCTCATATCACCATGGCTGACTAAATTTTTTATTTTTTGTAGAGACAAGGTCTTGCTATATTGTCCAGGCTAGTTTTGAACTCAGCCTCAAGAGAAGCCTCAAGTAACTCCTGTCTCAGTCTCCCAAAGGGCTGGGATTACAGGTGTGAGCTACTGTACCTAGCCAGTTTCACTATTAGTTGAGGATTTCTACATCCACATCTGTGAAAGAATTTGGCCTGTAATTTTCTCTTATGTAATATCCAGGCTATTCTTATGAATTAAATTTATGCAAATTGGGAGTGTTTACTACTTGTCTACTTTTTATAAGAAATTGTATCAGTTATTTCCTTTTTAAATGACTGGAAGAGTTTGCCAATGAGAGCCATATGGGGTTAGAGTATTCTTTGTGGACAGGTTTTACATATAGGGCTCAATTTCCTTTCCTTTCCTTTTTTTTTTTTTTTTTTTTTTGAGCACAGTCTCACTTTGTCACCCTTGGTAGACTGCTATGGCATCATACCTCACAGCAACTTCAGACTCTTGAGCTCAAGCAATTCTCTTGCCTCAGCCTCCTGAGTAGTTGAGACTATAGGCACTCACCACAATCCATGGCTATTTTTAGAGGTGGGGTCTCACTCTTGATCAGGCTGGCCTCAAACCTGTGAGCTCAGGCAATTCACCTGCCTCAGCCTTCCAGAGTGCTAGGATTACAGGCATGAGCCACCATGCCTGGTTGGCTCAATTTCTTTAATAGTTAGGCTGATTCATATTCTCTGTTTTGGTAATTGCTTTTCAAGGAATTTTCCATTTTATCTATATCTTCACATTTAGTACCATAAAATTGATCAGAATATCTTTACAATATCTTTTAATTATTATTTTAATACTATAGCAGTGTTTCTCAAATTATTTTGGTCTCAGGAGCTTTATATTTTAAAAAATTGAGGGCCCCAAAGAACTTTAGTTTATATGTATTGATATTTACTTTATTAAAAACTAAAATGGAGAAATTAGAAAGAATATGTATTTATTAACTCCTTTAAAAACAACAGTTCTAGATAAGATGAAGTAATGTCAGCAGAAAAGCCAATCAGAGTTACCCACAGCTCGTCCTACCCACAAAAAGATATCAAAAGAATGAATAAACAAATATATCTGAATCAAGGAGAATGAATGAGGAAGTGCCCTGGAGAATACCAGGGGAATGATGGTATCTCTTTGGAGCACAAGCCCAGGATAGCACAATAGAGAGAGGAGAAAAGCATTCTCTCTCTGCCACACTATCTTCTCCACCAGGCTCAGTTCGGAGTCAAGGAGACAACTTCTTACAAGGAAAAGATAAATTGGAGATCATCATTGGTCCCCATTGTTGTCAAAAATGTCAGAAATTCTTGCTACAGGGGACTCCTTTAGTCTTCACAAGGCCCCAGTCCAGTTTGGAGAGTAGTCAGGAGTTTGCATAGCTGCCTTGCCTCAGTAAGGCCCACTCTGAGTATGAGACCACTCTGAGCATCCCCCCACTCCTACAACCTAAGCTGCCATCTTGAAACCATACCCACTACTAGAGTACATCCTACCCTAGAAGCCAGTAGCCACTAATTCTTTCCATCCTTAAGGTCTTGTCACCATTCAACTACATTGTCACTGTTGCCAGCAGCACTACAACCATAGCTTCCTGGAGCATAGGCTAGATAGAATGAGCAAAATCTCAGTGTCTGAACCCATGTGGCATACTACCCTCCAAGGGAACAGACCTGCATAAGTGAAGAAGGTGCCTAAAAGCTGACCAATTGCCTCACTGGCATACATATACCTCTATTGCATAGCTAGCTTGCCTGTTGAGCCCATATGCACCGATGCCCAGCCCAATAACCAATCCCATGGTGGCCCCACCCCTCAGATAGATCATCGTACAGCCACCCAATCCTGTTGCAACCACATCCAGTTATGCCTGACCTGACAGTTGGCCTGACAGCCCTAACCCTCACCAACAGATATTTTAGAGCCATATATGACAAACCTGCAGCTAACATCATACGGAATGAGAAAAGGCTGAAAGCTTTTTTTCTAAGGTTAGGAAACAAGGATGCCCACTTTCATCACTTCTATCCAATATAGTACTGGAAATTCTAGTCAATTAGGCAAGAGAAAGAAATAAAAGGGATCCAAATTGGAAAGGAGGAAATCAAATTGTCCCTGATTGTAGATAATGTGACCTTATATAGCTGACCCTTGAACAACTTTGGGCTGAACTATGCAAGTCCACTTTAACACAAATTTTTTAAATAAACATATTGGAAACTGTTTTTTGAAATTTGTATCAATTTAAAAAAATTCATAGGCAAACCACATGGCCTAAAAATATTGAAAAATTAAGAAAAGAGTTATGTGAAGTCGTGAATGCATAAAAATATACATAGACACTAGTCTAGTGTATCACTTACTACTATAAAATATGTATAAATCTATTATAAAAAGATAAAGTTTATCAAAACTTACACACATAAACACTTACAGACCATACATGGTACCATTTGCAGTTGGGAGAAATGCAAACAAACATAAAAATGTAGTATAAAATTGTAACTGAATTAAATTAACTGCAGTATATACTGTAGTACTGTCATAATTTTATAGCTACCTCCTGTTTGTTACACAGTAAGCTCGAGTGTTGGGAGTATCTGCTTAAAACACCATGTGACGCTAATCATCTCCACGTATGCAGTTCATCTCTCTTTAAATTGTGTATCACAATAAAAAAAAAAGATCTCTCATGGGTCTTGTGTATTTTTCATTGTGCTTAGTGCAAATCTATCAACTTTGCATAACACTATGGGACCCATACAAAGTGCCACTGTATAATGAAAGTGCTCCCAAGAAGCAAAGAAAAGTCTGACATTACAACCAAAGTTGAATTGCTTGATATGAACTGTAGAATGAGGTCTGTAGCTGCACTGGCCTGCCATCTTAGACAGACAATTCATCTGGTAAACAGATGATTCAAATTTATGGTACCGATAAATATAGTACAGTACTACATATGTATTTTCTCTTACTTGTGACTTTCTTTACCTTTTTTTTTTTTGAGACAGAGCCTCAAGCTGTCCTCCTGGGTAGAGTACCGTGGCATTACAGCTCACAGCAACCTCCAACTCCTGGGCTCAAGCGAGTCTCCTGCCTCCGCCTCCCAAGTAGCTGGGACC